CTTTTATGGGCGACAAAAAGCCGGGAGCAATGGGTAGTAACCCTTTCTCTGTATACTTTTACAAAAAAAAGAGAAGAGAAAAACTTTATAAAACGGGGTTTTGCTTAAATGTGCGTGGATGTAGTGCGGATGACAAGAAACAGATGATTGCTGATGTTATGAATGAAAAAAAAGTTGGATGTCCTGGCCCTAAGCGAAACAAAGCTGAAGGGGGAAAGGAGAGTTTCAGTGGGGGGAAATAAATGGGATTAAATCTGGAGTTTTCTGAGAGAGTTAGAGCAAAGGAAGGGGTAGCAGTAATGTTAAATGATCAGTTATGGAAGGAGAAAAAGAGAATATGAATGTATAAATTCAAAAATTATGTGGATTAAAGTAAAGGTTGGATGCGAGAAGTGGGTCATAATAAGCGTGTATGCACCTGGAGAAGAGAGGAATGCAGAGGAGAGAGAGAGATTTTGGGAGATGTTAAGGGGAATGTATAGGACCTTTGAACCAAATGAGAGAGTAATTGTGGTGGGGGCCCTGAATGCTAAAGTAGGAGAACTTTTAGAGAGGGTGTGGTAGGTAAGTTTGGGGTGCCAGGTGTAAATGATAATGGGAGCCCTTTGATTGAACTTTTGTATAAAAAGGGGGTTTTTAGTTATAGGTAATACATATTTTAAGAAAAAGAGGAAAAAATAAGTATACACGATATGATGTAGGGCGAAATGACAGTATTTTTGTTGGATTATGTATTGGTAGATAAAAGACTGTTGAGTAGACTTCAGGATGTACATGTTTATAGAGGGCCACAGATATATCAGATCACTTTCTAGTTGTAGCTACACTGAGAGTAAAAGGTAAAATGGGATACAAGGAGAATAGAACATCAGGGAAGAGAGGGTGAAGGTTTATAAACTAAAAGAGGAGGCAGTTAGGGTAAGATATAAACAGCTATTGGAGGAAAAGATGGGCAAATGAGAGCATAGGCAATGGGGTCGAAGAGGTATGGGCTAGGTTTAAAAATGTAGTGTTAGAGTGTTCAGCAGAAGTTTGGGGTTTTACGGGAAAAGGGTGGGTGCAGGAGGGAAGAGGAGCGATTGGTGGAATGATGATGTAAAGAGAGTAGTAAGGGAGAAAAAGTTAGCATATGAGAAGTTTTTACAAAGTAGAAGTGATGCAAGGAGGGAAGAGTATATGGAGAAAAAGAGAGAAGTTAAGAGGGGTGGTGAAGCAATGTAAAAAGAGAGCAAATGAGAGAGTGGGTGAGATGTTATCAACAAATTTGTTGAAAATAAGAAAAAGTTTTGGAGTGAGATTAACAAGTTAAGAAAAGCCTAGAGAACAAGGGGATTTGTCAGTTAAAAATAGGAGAGGAGAGTTTTTTAAATGGAGAGTTAGAGGTATTGGGGAAGATGGGGGGAATTTTTTGGGAGGAATTGTTAAATGTTTATGAAGATAGGGAAGCTGTGATTTCGTGTATAGGGGAAGGAGGAATAACATCTTGTAGGAGTGAGGAAGAGCCAGTTGTGAGTGTGGGGAAGTTCGTGAGGCAGTAGGTAAAATGAAAGGGGGTAAGGCAGCCAGGATTGATGGGGTAAATAGAAATGTTAAAAGCAGGTGGGGATATAGTTTTGGAGTGGTTGGTGCAATTATTTAATAAATGTATGGAAGAGGGTAAAGGGACCTAGGGATTGGCAGAGAGCATGCATAGTTCCTTTGTATAAAGGCAAAGGGATAAAAGAGAGTGCCCAAAAATTATAGGGGATAAGTTGTTGAGTGTACCTGGTAAGGTGTATGGTAGAGTTATAAAATTTAAAGAATTAAGAGTAAAACGGAGAATAGGATAGCAGATGAACCAAGGAGGCTTTAGGAAAGGTAGGGGGTGTGTGGACCAGGTGTTTACAGTGAAACATATAATGAACAGTATTTTTAGATAAGGCTCAGAGGGGCTTTGTGGCATTTATGATTTGGAAAGGCGTATGACAGGGTGGATAGGGGGGCATGTGGCAGATGTTTGCAAGTGTATGGTTAGGAGGTAGGTTACTGAAAGCAGTGAAAGAGTTTTTTAGAGGATGTGAGGCTTAAGTTAGATGTATGGGAGGAAAGAGGGAAATTTTTTTCCCCGTTTAAAAGTAGGCCTTAGGACAAGGATGTGTGATGTCACCGTGGTTGTTTTAATATATTTATAGATGGGTTGTAAGAGAAGTAAATGCGAGGTCTTGGCAAGAGGGGTGGAGTTAAAAGATAAAGAATCACACACAAAGTGGGAGTTGTCACAGCTGCTCTTTGCTGATGACACTGTGCTCTTGGGAGATTCTGAAGAGAAGTTGCAGAGATTGGTGGATGAATTTGGTAGGGGGTGCAAAAGAAGAAAATTAAAGGTGAAAACAGGAAAAAGTAAGGTTATGAGGATAACAAAAAATTAGGTGATGAAAGATTGAATATCAGATTGGAGGGAGAGAGTATGGAGGAGGTGAACGTATTCAGATATTTGGGGAGTGGACGTGTCAGCGGATGGGTCTATGAAAGATGAGGTGAATCATAGAATTGATGAGGGAAAAAGAGTGAGTGGTGCACTTGGGGAGTTCTGTGGAGACAAAGAACTTTGTCCTTGGAGGCAAAGGGGGGAAGTATGAGAGTATAGTTTACCAACGCTCTTATATGGGTGTGAAGCGTGGGGGGATGAAGGGTTGCAGCGAGGAGAAGGCTGGAGGCAGTGGAGATGTCATGTCTGAGGGCAATGTGTGGTGTGAATATAATGCAGAGAATTCGTAGTTTGGAAGTTAGGAGGAGGTGGGGGATTACCAAAACTGTTGTCCAGAGGGCTGAGGAAGGTTGTTGAGGGTGGTTCGGACATGTAGAGAGAATGGAGCGAAACAGAATGACTTCAAGAGTGTATCAGTCTGTAGTGGAAGGAAGGCGGGGTGGGGGTCGGCCTAGGAAGGGTTGGGAGGGAGGGGGTAAAGGAGGTTTTGTGTGCGAGGGGCTTGGACTTCCAGCAGGCATGCGGTGAGCGTGTTTGTAGGAGTGAATGGAGACAAATGGTTTTTAATACTTGACGTGCTGTTGGAGTGTGAGCAAAGTAACATTTATGAAGGGATTCAGGGAAACCGGCAGCCGGACTTGAGTCCTGGAGATGGAAGTACAGTGCCTGCACTCTGAAGGAGGGGTGTTAATGTTGCAGTTTTAAAAACTGTAGTGTAAAGACCCTTCTGGCAAACAGTGAGGAGTGAATGATGGTGAAAGTTTTTCTTTTTCGGGCCACCCTGCCTTTGGGGGGAATCGGCCAGTGTGATAATAAAAAAAAAAATAATAAATCTGGTATGCAGTAATTGAATGAATGTGTTTTCCCCTGGGGCCCCCCCCTGCCCTGGCGGGAAGATGCGTTGAGGCAAAATAAAAAAATATGTATGATTAATAAATATTTAAAAGTGATGGTAGCATTTGTTTAAAATTTGGAATTGGAAGTATGGCAGGATCATATTACTGAATACTGCCAACTCACTTTGGTATCATTAAAACAAATGACAACAATACATGTGATCCTTTATGTCATACTGAAACTTATATACTTAATAAAATAACTCTAGCATTGAATATTTTCTAAATTTGCCAGCTAATTATATCAGCAGGTACTTTCATCGTTTTTCCACTGTTCAGAAGCTTCATCACTCAGTAATGATCGTCTCTCTCTCAGGAATTCTCCTGCATTTATTTCCTGAGATGAGACAGGAGAGTAAGGGCCTTCTACTGGACGTGGTGGCTTAGGAATGTCATATATTTGCTCTGATGAAGGATCGGGATTTTCTACAATGGTGAGTGGCCGGCTGTTAGCATCGGTGCTGAAGGCTTCATTCTGGTTATGGAAAGAAAGGTGTATTCTAGTTAAATAGCCAAAATTAAACTTGTCTCACCCAAAATTTCCAAATTAAGAAATTGCACATCTTTTTCTTTTAGTCAATTTGCCACTTTCATGAAGCAGGAAAGCTGTCACCTAGGAAGAACTGATGGCCACTGAAAAAACACAGGGTAAAGATAGAAAAAATAACTAAACAAAATAATATTCAGCTGTTGTTAAAGAAAGTAAATCTTTTTATGTAGTCTAACCATACTGAACCAGGAATGTTGGGTGGAACTTTTTTTTTTTAAATACATTTTGTGGTACAGTGTATAAACCCCTTGTGGCTTTTGTGCTTCTTTTTTATTTATAATAAATTTTGTGGTACTCAAAAAATAGTCTCTACCAGTGTAAAAACAAACAAAAAAACATGCAGGTGGTACTTGTCAATGTGTGTAGTATTTATCCTCTTGCAATATTTACATATGTACACTTGATGTAAACATCTAAAATTTTGTAGAGATGAAGTAGAGGGAAATGGAGTGCATGTAGATTTTATAGCCACTTCTATTTAAGTGTCAGACTCATTACCTAATACATCATAAGTACCCCTTTATTCAACATGGGTGTTTTTTCTTAAACAGTGACAGCAATGTGCTGCTGCTGCTTGCAGTTAGACCTCTCTCCTATATATGCATCCTGTATCATAGACATCTGCAAGACTTTGTACTTACTTATGAATGATTTTGTCTATATAACCTGCTTCACTATTTCTGTACTGTCATCAACTAGTTCCTTATTTCTCTTGTCACTTTCACTAGTGTTTGGGGTTAATACAACATAATGTATGGCATTAAGGGTTTGGTGAGTAAAAAAAATCTTGTCCAGTGGTAATGTTCATGCCTTGTGGTCACAACAAAGGTTCAAATCCCACACTGACCCTCCTACACTATTTGACTTTGTTACTCTCCACTGTACAGTGGACCCCCGGTTAACGATATTTTTTCACTCCAGAAGTATGTTCAGGTGCCAGTACTGACTGAATTTGTTCCCATAAGAAATATTGTGAAGTAGATTAGTCCATTTCAGACCCCCAAACATACACATACAAACGCACTTACACAAATACACTTACATAATTGGTCACATTCGGAGGTAATCGTTATGCGGGGTCCACTGTATTTATTTAACCTTTCCGGGGTTTCGGCCGTACTAATACAGCTTACGCACCAGGGTATTTGACGTACTAGTACGCATAAATTCTAGCGCCCTCAAATCTAGCAAGAGAAAGCTGGTAGGCCTACATATGAAAGAATGGGTCTATGTGGTCAGTTTGCACTGTATTTTTGTATGGTATTTATGGTTGTATTCTAGTTTTCCTGGTCTTATTTTATAGAATGGAAGACATATTACAGAATTGAGATGATTTCGATTGGTTCACAATGAAAAGTACCTTGAATTGAGCTCAAAGTAGCAGAAATGTTCGATTTTTGCCAAAGTTCATAAGTAAACAAATCGTGCCACGCGTCCAATACACGTCAACTGGTGAAATCTAATATTCTTTCACAAGTGCGCTAGTATTATTTACACCCTTTCTACACTAATACAGTAGTCTACATAACAGTAAATCTATTTTTTTGTGAGAATAAAAATTCAAAGTGGAAAGCAAAAGAAATGTAAGAGGGGCGTGGGAATGTGACTAATGAACAGAGGGAAATGTTATTTTAGTGCCAGGAATGTCTTTCTTGTTTGTTTATTCTGGACCCTATTTGGAAATTGGCATCTTTTGAAATTTGTGTGAAATTGGCAAAAATTGTTAAATTCTGACCACTTTATTGGATAGTTGAAATCGGTAAATGGGTAGTTTCTTGTACTCATTTGATAGAAAAAACGGAATTCTAATGAAATAGTTATGATTTTTGTCGACTAGTACACTGAAATTGGCCGAAATTAGAGCTCAAAGTGGGCAAAATCGCCGATGCGTAAACATCGTCGAGACTGCTAACTTCGCGAGAGCATAATTCTGTAAGTTTTCCATGAAATTTCATACTTTTGGTGTCATTATCATTGGGAAAAGATTCTCTATCTTTCATAAGATTTTTTTTTTTTTTTTTTTTTTTTTTTAAATTTTGGCGACCCTGAGAGCAAGTCTCTGAGAGGGCCTGGCGACCCTCAAAGGGTTAAATTACTTTTGGTAATTCCTTTTGACATCATTACATATTTTTCATATGTATACTGAGATTACTGTACTACAGTAATAATAAATAGCTATCTGCAAGTAACCGAAAACTGTAATAAACAGATGCAATTTTTCGTGGATTGCAGGGGACTGAACCAGGGACTCTCTTCTCTTTAACCAATTTTTTTTTATTTTTAACTCAACTTTCTCCTGCCAGCATTTTGGAAAGAAACAGTACTCAATGTAAAATATTGGGTAAATATTCTTAGTTAACAAAAATAAATGAAGCAGATGCAGAGTACAGTAAGGCCCCGCTTTACGGCGTTCCGCTAATACGGTGATGTCAAATTATGATCAAAATTTGCTATACGGCAAGCGGTCTTTTAAATACGGCGCCCCCCCACCCGGTTTGTTTACATTTTCCGTGACCACATCTATTATGTCGGGAAACTTTCCAAAATTTAAAGTGTTTTAAAGTTACTGCATATTTTATATGTACTCTGATAATTATACTTATGTGTACCTGTACTTAAATATACTTACACACTGTGCAGGTACACATTAAAATCGCTAAGTCCCTCTCTACTCATGACGTAATAATAATCACTCTTGGGCACACTAAAATGTCTTACATCAATATAGGCATTTTCATTAATCCATCTATGATATTTCCCTCAAATTATATATGAAACCCATTACATAGCATATAAACATGATACATACACTCAGAATAAAATTGATGTAAATATGAGATTTGTTTACAAAGCAGCTGTGTGGGTAGTGTTGGAAGAATTACGTTTTCTCTAGTCAAACACTGGGGGGTAACTGTAGAAAAATATTCTTTTCGTATGCCTTTACTCTATGTATAGCAATTCACGACCCTTGTGGGTTTAGTGCTGTTTATAATAATAAATAATAATAATAATAATACTATTATTAATATTAATAATAATATCATTATTATCTTCATTCACTCTAAAAATGGTGTGTTGCTGTTTGTTTATTCTGAACTAACTTGTACAACTTGTACACAATATAAGAGTATTTGTATTGTGAGGTAATATTATTAAAATAAAAAATATTGAGGTAAATGTTTTACAAACTCTTGCAAATGGACGTGAATGAACTAAAAGTAGACACATATTAATACGCATTTCGCCTGACCAAGTGATCGTCCACTACCTGTTCAGTTTGTGTTTTACATTGTCTCACCTCTGTATCTCGCGCTCTCTCTCGTTTACTCTTTCGTTAACTAGTTGGCTCTCATTGACGATGGCGTCTAAGGTTATGCTGTGATAAAAAGAGAAGTCGTAAGCCTCTTGCTTTAAGTGCCAAGTTGGAGGATGGTGTGCCATTTTGATTTTATTCAATAAACACCCTGCCACTTACCTCTCACACATTAATATTAATATTTTAAGGTAAGTAATAAGTGTACTCTGTGTGTATCTTACCTTTTATTGTGTTTTTAATGCCTATTTCTATTGCTAACTTTGTAAACTTGTTGTTGGTATTTATTGCATATTTTATGCTCTGATAATAATACTTGTGGAGCCAGGTGGAGGGACAACATTACGTTTTCTCTGCTCAGCCATCAGAGAAAACGTGTATGAATCTGCGTTTGGCCCAGCCACTCCCTCACTCCGCTTTTGTTTACAATTTTCGGCATGAATTATTCATTACTTCTACCTTCGTTTATGATGGCATCTAAAGGTAGTTGTTAGAATTATTAAATTCAGTGAACAAGGCTAGTCGATGTTAATAATATGGATCTGGGCCACAGTGTAGGTAGCCAGTAGGTGTAGCCCAGGCTACATCTACCGGCTACCTACACTGACTTTATACAAATAAATACTACTCCACCTCTTCCTATATTAAGACTACACATATTTTTAAGGTAAATAATGAGTGTACTGTATGTGCATTTTACCTCTCTGGGATGTTTTAAATATCGTATATTAAGTATGAGACGGGGAGCCAGTGCTACCTACACCTGGGATACCTGCACCTGACTCCTACAAATAAGTACTACTCACCTCTCTCCCTACATTAACATTACAAATACTTTAAGATAAGTAATGAATTACTGTGACTGTTATTTTACTTTGTGTGTTTTTAATGCCTAGTTCTATTACTAACTTAATATATTTAGTGTAAACTTGTTGTCTGGCATTTATATGCATTTATAAATGGAAAAAATGGAGTTCTGCTTTCCGGCGACAGCCTGGAACCTAACCCGCCGTATAAGTGGGGCCCTACTGTATTATGGCTCTGGAATGTATCTCTCATTTTAGCATGGGTGTCAATGGAAAATAAGTTCACAGTTCTAAACAGTCCAGTGAAAAATATTCAGAAAATGAACATTATAAGCTGGGGCCCCACTGTACATGTTAATCTCATTCTTGTGTTCTTTTTATTCTACTGTTTGATTTATGAAATTTAATTGAGCGTATTTTATATTTTTTTAATTTACAGTATAACCATTATTACTGATACATGATCAGACTGTAGAGAGAAACAGTTTAAAGACAAGCCTTTATTTTTAAATATTACACTTGGCTTGGCTGGACTAAAAAAGCTCTCATTGAGTTAATATAATCTGAAAACAAAGAGGCATCTTTGCCTGCTGTAATTGTTATAAATTCCTGCCATCCATGTTCAAATTGATGAATTTAAAAAGACAAGGCTTACCTCTTCCTGCAAGTCTCGCTTATGACCACAGCTATGCTGGCTAAAAAAAAAAAAAGTGTTATAGGCTTAAGTATCAAGAGAGTTGGTATATAAAAGAAAAAATTTGCGTGCGACAATTTGAAGTCAAGCAAGGGAACATTAAAAAACAGCCCATGACAATGATAGTCTACTGCTTCAGACAGAAATATTGCTAACCCAGCCATAGGGGTCATGACACTGATAATCAGCTCACCTTTTGTTTATTGTTAAGGGGAAGCAGAGGGTGCCCAGATAACCGCTGCCATGTAATATTCATATGCTGCATCAGGCTTTGTACTGTCATCATCCTCTGCACCATGATTTTTTATGCTCCATTCTATTCTCCCTAGCCCCCCTATCATCCACTTCTTTAAAAATATCAATGTCTCCCCCTTCCCCACTCTGATTCTTCTTGCTGTCCTACCTCATTCTTTTCTTCTGCTGATGTCTGCTCCCTTCTTGCTCTTGAGATGTGTTTACTGTGCACGGGTACTGCTACCTTTCTCTGTTCACTGTTGTGAGGTGGAAAACTCCTGTTGAACCCTTAAACTGTTACATTCTTACTACAAGTATGATACTACAGTATGAAGAAAAACTAACTCACAATTTTTGTTTATTAAAAACCCTCAAGAGAGGTTCTTGTTGCAAGGAACTGAACCTATCTTCCATGTTTCTGTACCTAACCTGATTGCCTCTTGTTACTCCAGTGGTGTATGACCCCTACAGAGGGCACTTACCTTTGAATATAATACAGTAATAATATAAGAAGGTTTTGTGGGCAAGGGGCTTGGACTTCCCAGGAAGCGTGTGAACGTTTTAGGGGGTAAATGCAGAAAAATGGTTTTTTGAGACCTGACGAGCTGTTGATTGTGAAGATAAGAAAAGTAAGATTTCATTCGGATTTTTACCCTGGGGGGTTTTACCCACCCAGGATAACCCAAGAAAGTCAGTGCGTCATCGAGGACTGTCTAATTTATTTCCATTGGGGTCCTTAATCTTGTCTCCCAGGATGCGGGCCCCACCAGTCGACTAACACCAGGTACCCATTTGCTGCTAGGTAAACAGGACGACAGGTGTAAGGAAACGTGTTGAAATGTTTCCACCCGCCGGGAATTGAACCCCGGGCCCTCCGTGTGTGAAGCGGGAGCTTTAGCCACCAGGCCAAAAGGGGCCACAGGGTAATATTTTGCGAAGGGATTCAGGAAAACTGGTTAGCTGGACTTGAATCCTGGAACTGGGAAGTACAATGCTTGTACATTAGAGGGGTTAAGGATATTGGCTGTTTGGGTGACATCTAAACTGTTATATCTGGTGCCTTATGATTATGCATGAATGATGGTGAAAGTTTTTTTTCCTTTGTTTTTGGGGTTTTTCTTTCTTTTTGGGTCACCCTGCCTTGGTGGGAAATGGCTGATGTATTAAAAAAAAAAACAATAATAATAATATACTGTTTTAAAATGTCTCAGTATTAAGATTGCCCTTCAACTTCAACATCCCACCTCTTCTTCCGAGTGTAGGCACTGCCCTTCTCACCTCCAGGACTCAAGTTTGCTTAACTAGCTTCCCCTTTAATTCTTTTATAAAACTTAACTTGTTTAAACCTCAAAGCATATCCATTAAAAAACACTTGTTTCTATTCATTCCTTTCTAACCTATTTACATGCCTGCTGGATGCTTAAGCCTCCTAAGCTGAAATTTTCTATTACCCCATCCATCCTGGGACAACCACCTACCCCTCCTACTTTCCTTCCCAGATTTATACACCCTCTTTTTTTATGTATCCTCCTCCACTCTCTCTACCTGCCCAAACCACCTCAACCCCAGACCATCTTTTAATTTCTGTAATCTAGTCTTTGCATGATATTCACACCATTCATTGCTGCCAAACATGACATCACCACTGCCTCTAGCTTCCTTTTTGCTGTAGCACTGAAAACCTATGCCTCAGTCATAATTGTGTTGGTACCACTTTACAGTAGAACCCCTGTATCCACTGATTCTGTATCTACAGTTTCAGTTATCTATGGTTTACCATGGCCCAAAAATGACCTTTAAGTTTACTTAGTAATGACCCCAAAGTGCAAAAGTAGTGATGCTTGCAGTTCTTCAAAGCCTAAGAGAAGCTATGAAATGCTTCCCATCAGTGAAAAAATGCTAATTCTAGACTTATTTTGCATAATTTATCACTTAAACTTTATCATAGGTATGTATGTAAATGAAAAATTATTTATATATATAGGGTTTGGTACTATCCACGGTTTCAGGTATCCACAGTAGGTCTTGGAATGTATACCCCTCAGATACGGGGGTCTTACCATACTTTGATATATGGTATATATTCCTTTATTTTTTGCCTCCACATGTAAATTTCTTTCCACAGATGCCTTTTAAGCCTGAATGCCTTCCACAACCCCCCCCAGGCGCTGTATAATCCTCCGGGTTTAGCGCATCCCCCTTGATTATAATAATAATCCACAGATGCCTCTCATTAGGGGCTCTTGATCTAAGGAACTGGACTTGTCATCACTTTTCTTGGATCAAACCTAAATGCCTCCCATTCTCCAGGCACCATAATCCTTACTGGTTTAGTGCTTCCCCTGATTAAAATTAATTTTCCACGTGTGTCAACACACTATGCATCTTTTTCTCCCCCCTCTCATAGACCCCATCTTATATTCAATCTATCCTTGTCTAGACTTTTATCCTCATCACTTTACTCTTTTCTATGTTCACTTAATTTCCTTCATTTACATACCCTATCAAATTTGTCTGCTAATGCTTGCAACTTTGTCATAATTCCCAAAATTACTGTCATCAGCAAAGAGCAACTGGGATAACTTCCACTTCGTGTTAGATCCAACATCTTTTAATCCCACACCTCTTCCCAACATCCTAGCATTCACTTCTTTTACAACTCTTATAAATATGTTAAACAACTTACTGATATGGTAGCATAAATTACTTCTGCTGGTTCATCGATGGCAGTGCTAGAGAAACTGATCATCTGGTAGGGCTGACTTGTGCTCTCATCAAGTGCATTCTGTCTCTGCAAAGAATGAACAACTGTACAGACAAAAAAATATTACATTACAAATTGAAGGGAAAAAACATCCACATACAGTATCTAAAACTTACAGAAACCATTTCTAAAGCCTATTTTTAACTTAACAAATTCAGGGGTCTGATATCTGTCAGTGCCTTCTAAATATTGAAAAGATACCAGCATGATCAATAAATAATAGAAAAATTGCAACAAACCAAAAATTTTAGAATGAAATCTGAATTTCATGAGTTCATGTATAGGGCAAGGAGGAATAACATCTTGTAGGAGTAAGGAAGAACCAGTTGCGAGTGTGGGGAAAGTGCACAAGGCAGTGGGTAGAATGAAAGGGGATTAAAGCAGCTGGAATTGATGGGATAAAAACAGAAATGTTAAAAGCAGGAGAGGATATAATTTTGGAGTGGTTAGTGTTTTTATTTAATAAATGTGTGGAAGAGGGTAAGGTACATAGGGATTGGCAGAGAGCATGCATAGTTCCTTTGTATAAAGGCAAAGGGGACTAAAGAGAGTGTAAAAATTATAGGGGAATAAGTCTGTTGAGTATACAGTGGACTCTCGAGTTTCGTAAGCCTCGTGCTTCGTAAATTTTGCCTTTTGTAGCTTTTTTTTTTTTGTCAAAATATAGCCTCACTGTTCATCATTTGCCTTGCGATTTGTCGGTCGTATGGAACGTGTCCAAGAGCAGCCTCCACTGTCCACAACTGCTTGCAACTGCTAAGCCACCATTTGCCCAAAGAAAGCTTCTAGTGGCAGCCCTATGGTAAAGAAGGTGAGAAACACAATAGAATTCAAGAAAGAACTTGTAACAAAGTACCAAAGTGGAGGAGGAAGAGAGAGGGGAGAATGTGCCTTCTTTAGTGATTTAGTGGTTCTACAATACGTACAATACTAAAGCAGCAGGATTCGATAAAGGCTATAGCGCCAGCCAGCGATAAAATGTAGCATTAACAGTGTAGCAAGTAAGTTAAGCGATTAAGCGATAGAAAAATGATGACACGAAACTTAACTGCTCCATTGTTGTTTGAGGTATATAGGGCACTGACAACATACGCCACCCTCTGCCAGCATCTTCTCCAAGGTAAGTGTAAGTATTTCTTATATATAAAGTGTAAATATTTCTTATTTATAAATTAAAGTGTAAATATTTCTTATTTATAAATTACGTACATTGTGTGAATAGTGGTAGTGTCCTCTGCTGCCGCCACCCTACCACTAATACGTGGTGCTCTCAGTGGCCCTTATAAACCCAACAACAAGACAGCACCACCACTCATGACATACGTAATGACATATTTTATTCATTCTAGAGTAGTATATGTATATCATGTTTCTATGTTACTAATATTGTTTATTATGTCATATTAGATGAATTGTGATAGATAAATAATCCATAGAGTTGACATTAGCTTGTCATATTTAAGTATTTTGTCTTGTCTCCAACTACAAGAGTCTTCAATAAAGGTATGTAATAGTGATTTAAATGTTCATTTATCCATTTCATTAGTGCTTAATATTTATTTCTAATTGTATTCTGTATGTAAATCTATATTTAATCTCTAAAAATGTATTGTTTGTTAATACTTTTGGGTGTCTGAAACGGATTAATTGGATTTACATTATTTCTTATGGGGAAAATGGTTTCGCCATTCGTAAATTTCACCTTTTGTCAGACTCTCTGGAACGGATTAATTATGAAATTCAAGGGTCCATTGTACTTGGTAAAGTGTAAGGTAGAGTTATTATTGAAAGAATCAAGAGTAAGATGGAAAGCAGGATAGCACATGAACAAGGAGGCTTTAGGAAGTGTAGGGGGTGTGTAGACCAAGTGTTTACAGTGAAACATATAGACGAACATTGTTATGGGGCTATAGGACCCAACATGTATTTATAAGTAACAGTTGCTCTGGAATACCTAATTATATTGAATTGATGGGGACTTTGCTCTAAATGTCAGAAGAACTGATCAACCTTATGACTGAGAGGCAGCTGGGTCAAACCTATTTTTCTCAATATAATAGGTTATACTATAGACACATAAACACACAATTTAAATAAGTAGTTTATAAAGTTGTATTTCCTTTTGTAAAAGTAAAATTAAGGTGTGGTAGAATTGTGGTAACTGGAGAATTGTGCTTGGCAACAGTCTTTTGTTTTGGTGGGAGGAGCTTAGCCAGGCTCTCTCTCTCTCTCCCTCTCACTGACTCTCTCTCTGTGGCTGACCTTCAACTTGGCAGGATCTCTGGGTCCTTCTTCTATCTTTTGGGGCATCATGTGTGCTCCAGGGGTGAGTTTTTATAATTTAAGTTGTGGCCACCATACCCAGGGTGACTAAAGTGTGTCAAAACACTGGTTAGCCCAGAGCTATGTCAAGAAGAGAGAAGGACAAAAGTTGTTGGAACACACCATGTGGAGAACAGGTATGGAGTGTGTAGATTTTGTTTTGAAAATGTGAGGCTGTGATTGTATATTCTGTACATATCTATTGAGAATACAGTTATATTTTTATAGTAGTAGTTTACATAACCTGTGAAGAGGGCTGGTGAAAGGGTATCAGAGACACTCAAGATGATCAGCCATGATGTAAGTATTACCCCTAGACAGATAAGGCCATTAAGTAAAAAGCTACCCCACACTAGAACATGTAGTGAGAACCTTACTATCAAAATAATAAGACCTACCAACGTAACATGGGAGCTTGACCGGGAGAGTTATTTGACTGCTAAAATAACTCAAAACATTCTTTGAACTATATGTGCTGGTATGGGGTAATAACAGTTGCATGTTTCTGGTAGAAGATTTACCAAGGTGGTGTCAGTGGAAGTGTTGTTTTCATATATTAGTTTACAGGTTGTTTTTCTCCTAAGGTGGGAGAAAGGTTGAGTAACACATTTTTGTTGTGGTTATGGTAAGTGCTATGTGCATAGTTTACATTCAATTTGTGTTATTTTATGTGCCTGTGGGAAAACTTTGTCCACTGATACTGTAAGAGGGAAGCAAGTGTTTAAAGATAAAAACTATGTCAGAAGATGAGTCTTCAGATTTTTTAGGCTTCAGGGAAGAAGGTAATAATTCATCAGTAAACAAGCCTGTTAACAGTGAACATGAGGGATCACCTACTCCAGGATGGAAATGGAGAGAATGAGACAAATTAGCTGTACTAGAGGCTGAAATGAAATTACTGAAAGCTAAGGAGGAAGAACGTCAAAGGTTAGGAGGTTCAGAACAAGAGCCTGAGCAGTACTTTAACATAACTAAAGCTGCAAATTTTGTCCCTAAGTTTACAGAGAGTGACCCAGATAGATATTTTTCGCTTTTTGAGAAGACTGCTTTGGAGCAAGGATGGCCCAAACAAAAGTGGGCTACCCTAGTTCGCACACAACTTGTGGGTAAAGGATTCCAGAGAGTAGAGACTCTGGAGGGGCAAGATTTTTCTGATTATGATAAGATTAAAGAGGAAGTATTGCTTGCATACCAAATGATACCTGAGAAATATAGACAAAAGTTCAGAAATAAAAAATTTCGGGATGGGCAGACCTTAACTGAGTTTGGGAATGAGAAACTGTTCCTTTTTAAGAAATGGGTTTGTTCTAAAGGAGTTAATAAAGACTATAACAAATTAGTAGATCTGATGGTTCATGAGGAATTGTACAATACAATCCCTGTTGACCTCAGAGAATATTTGGAGGACAAAAACCCAGATAATCTTTCAGAAGCACTGGATCTAGGTGATCGATTCTTGGTTCGCAGGGAATTGGTAAGTAAAAACAGTCATGCTCCTGAAAATTTCCCCACTCGTTCTAAACCTTATTCCAAGTCCTATGGTCATAAAGGTAAGTGGGACAAGAATTTTCAGGAACAAATGAAGGCTGAGGTGCCCTATAAAATAGAAGGAAAGGGTAAGTCAGCTGGAGTTCAAAGTTTACCTAGACAATCAGATAATTTTTTAGGTCCTCGAGTAAACAGTACCAGTCCTACACCAAATGGTAAAAATACCTTTAAGAGTTATGCCTGTTACTACTGTAACAAAACTGGACACACACAAAAGTTTTGCTGGTCAAGGCGGCGAGATCAGGAAAGGGAGGAACCACCCCAGAGGACTCTAACTGCACAGATACATCCAGTTGCCTGCATTAGGTCTTCAAGGCAAGGTGAGGAGGAACCTTTGGATCTAGACCCCAGGATGTGTATATTTTCTAGTAGGTCCACAGTTGGTTTGCAAAAGAATGTAGGCAGAGTTGAGAACATATTGTCCTTGAGAGATGGATGTAGCACCTACTCTTTGCTACGTGCTGGAGTGCTACCAGTGTCTAAGGATACCTATACTGGGGTAGATATATTGTTGAAGGGTATTACGGGTTCAACCATAAGGACACCGGTACACAAATTATGGGTAGAATCTACATACCAAGTTGGCTATCTCCCTGTAGGTATCTCAGATGAAATTCCCTTCGAAGGGGTCGACCTCTTATTAGGGAATAATGTTATGGGCCTGTTAGACAGTGAGGAACAACTAGTTTGGGGGAAACCAAGTCCGAAATGTTGGGAGGAAATGGCTAGGAAAACCCTGCCAGACCTTCTCCCTGATGGTTCCACCATGAGAAGCATGGCTCATGATCATGCTACCAACAGTCTTCATGATATTTCTCATGAGGATGGTGAGGGCTTAAGTTTGGTAACTCTGCTTTCTGATGTTGAACTGCAGTCAACTGAAGAAAAGGATGTTCCAGCCAGAGCTGAGCATGATTGGAGAATGGATCAGTTAAATAGTGTGAGAGAGGCTGTACCTGCTAGGGTGCAATTAATTTCTGTGCAGGAAAATGTCGCTGTTGCTGAGGAAGAGATTTTACAGTGAAATAAGTGTTTTCATTTCAGGGAGGAAACTCTTACAAAGAATTCACCTCTGTTTGCAGTATCGATGGAAGGAGAACAAGGGTTTTATCCCCAGATGGCGATGTCCAAGGTTTCCAGGCATTTCTTCTGGTCTC